AGGCGTGAGCCACCGCGCCCGGCTGTAAAATTTATTTCTAAGTACTTCATAATTTTATGCTCTTATAAATTACATTTTTTTTTGAGAGAGAGTCTTGCTCTGTAGCCCAGGCTGGAGTACAATGGCACAGTCTACGCTCACTGCAACCTCCACCTCCCGGGTTCAAGCAATTCTCCTGCCTCAGCCTCCCGAATAGCTAGGACTACAGGTGCATACCACCACACCTGGCTAGTTTTTGTATTTTTAGTGGAGATGGGGTTTCACCATGTTGGCCAGGCTGGTCTCAAACCCCTGACCTTGTGAGCTGCCCACTTCAGCCTCCCAACGTGTTGGGATTACAGGTGTGAGCCACTGCACCCGGCCATAAATTACAGTTTTAAAATTACAATTTGGATTGGCTTCACTTCCCCCTAAAAAAACAGCACTGAGATTTCCACAGGCAGCAAGGTGGTCAATATCCTATCGAGCAGCCAGTCCTGAGTGTACAGCCCTGGGAAGTGGGGGAGCAATGGAAAATGAAGGTAATTCCTCCTTCATGGGATTTTTGTGAAGCTGAGGTAGGGAATCTACTCCAGACCAGATTGAAGACACTGAAATCAGGAAGAGGCAGTGAAAGCACTTCCCCATAAGACATGCCCACCATTGCCATGGCAGTTTGCCATTGTCTTGGCAACACCGAGAAGTTACTGCCCCTTAGCAGAGCAACATCTGGAAGTTACCACCCATTTTCTAGCCCATTCTGAATAATATTTGGAAAGTCGCATGTTATTAAAAGTGGGTAAATAGGCCGGGTGCAGTGGCTTATGCCTGTAATCCCTTTGGGAGGCTGAGGTAGGTAGATCATGAGGTCTGGGGTTCAAGACCCGCCTGGCCAGCATGGTGAAACCCATCTCTACTAAAAATACAAAAATTAGCCTGACATGATGGCATGCACCTGCAATTCCAGCTACTCAGGAGGCTGAGGTAGGAGAATCGTTTGACCCCGGGAGGCACAGGTTGCCGTGAGTCAAGATCACACTACCACACACCAGCCTGGGCAACAGAGCAAGACTCCGCCTCAAAACAAAACAAAATAAAGTGGGTATAAGCTGGGCACGGTGTCACACCTGTAAACCCAGCACTCTGGGAATCTGAGGCTGGAGGATCACTTGAGCCCAAGAATTCAAGATCAGTCTGGGCACATGGCAAAACCCTGTCTCTTAAAAAAAAAAAAAAAAAATTTAAAGAGATGGAGTCTTGCTATTTTGCCGAGGCTGGTCATGAACTTCTGGGCTCAAGCAATCCTCCCAACTGAGTCTCCCAAAGTGCTGGCATTACAGGCATAAGCCACCAATCCTGGCCCCCCATATATATACAGTTTTTGAGACAGAGTCTTGCTTTGTCACCCAGGCTGGAGTACAGTGGTGTGATCTCGGCTCGCTGCAACCTCTGCCTCCCCTGTTCAAGCGACTCTCCTGCCTCAGCCTCCGAAGTAGCTGGGATTATAGGTACCCACCCACCACGCCTGGTTAATTTTTTTGTATTTTTAATAGAGATGGGGTTTCACCATGTTGGCCAGGCTGGTTTCAAATCCCTGACCTCAAGTCTTCTGCCTACCTTGTCCTCCCAAAGTGCTAGGATTATAGGCATGAGCCACCATGCCCTGCCTAAAACATTTTTTTAAATTAGCTGGATGTGGTAGCATGCAACTGTAGTCCCTGCTACCTAGGAGGCTGAGGTGGAAAGATCACTTGAGTCCCAGAAGTCAAGGGTGCAGCGACCCATGATCACACAGTTGCATTCCAGGCTGGGTGATAAAGCAAGACTCTGAAAAGGTGCCATAAACCATAAGATCTGGATCCATACTTTGGTTATCCCACCTGTCTCCTTTGAGCCCCACAGGGAGTGCCCGGACACTGTGACAGCAAAAACTTGACAATGACAAAGGCCACAGTATCCAGAGACACCAGAAGCACTGGATGGGTCACAAAAGGCACATCCTAGGACTACAGAATCTTTCCGTCTCAGGATAATGGCGATGAGAGGTAAACAGCCCAGAGAGGATATGAGAATCCAGAAAGCCTATAGATTATTTGCTGACAGTAACCTTGCCACAAATAACAGGTCTGTAATTGCTGAGAAGTTCTGGTGTCCTCACCCCATAAAACCTCAGTTGCTGGAACATTTGTGGATGCCTCTTTAGAGTTGGCTCAAGCGCTCTTGTTTACCAGACACTTCACTCCATACTACTTACTCGGTATTTCTATGCCCACTTACTCTACCCAAGAGGGCCCTATAGGTTTTACAGTCAGTCTAGAACTTACCTCCATGTTCCAGATCTTGGAGAATATGGATTCTGAGCTGAATCTGAAAACAGCTCCTTCTGACCGTCGCTGGAAGTTCTGGAACATTCCTGGGAACAAGGAACCCAACGTTTTCTGTCCATAAACATACAGATCTCACACCAACTATCCCCTTCTTCAAGGTGAGCTCTGGACCCACAAACATGCCTGACATCCAGGCTACAGGTCTTTCTTTCCCCGAATGACTCAGGGGCCAATACAAATTAGGCCAATGTGACTAATTAGGCCAACTTGTCATCCTGCCATCCCCACTGAGGCAGAAAAAAACTCAAGAGACCACCTCCACAAAAGCCACTCCCTCAACTTATGGTGATAGTGCCTGATTCTATTCTCAATCTCTCCACACACAGGGATCAGAACCTCAATATTAAAAGTGACTTGGTGGAGCACAGTGGCTCACAACTATAATACCAGCACTTTGGAAGGCTGAGGCAAGAGGAGTGCTTGAGGCGAGGAGTTCATGACCAACCTGGGCAATGTAGCAAGATCTTGTCTCTACAAAAAATTTTTTAAATTAGCCAAATATTGTGGCACACAAGTGCAGTCCTAGCTATTCATGAGGCTGAAGCAAGAGGATCACTTGAGTCCAGGAGTCCAAGTCTGCAATGAACTAGGATCATACCACTGCACTCCAGCCTGGGCAAGAGTGTGAGACCCTGTCTCTAAAAAAACTAGGTCAGGTGCAGTGGCTCCTAGCACATTGGGAGGCCAAGGCAGGAGGATAGCTTGAGGCTCAGAGTTTGAGACCAGCTTGGGCAATGTAGTGAGACCCTGTCTACCAAAATTTAGCCAGGTGTGATGGTGCACACCTGTAGTGCCAGCTACTTAGGAGGCTAAAGCAGGAAGATCCCTTGAGACCAGGAATTCGAGGCTGTGGTCAGCTGTGATGGCACCACTGCTCTCCAGCCTGGGCAACAAAGCAAGACCATCTCAAAAAAAAAAAATGTTTTTTAAGTGGCTTAAGCAATAAAGCCTTTATTACCACAGTCCAGAGCAGTATGAGACAGTCCATGCTAGGGCATGACAAATACCCCATGTAATATCAACCATGTCCATGAAAATGGTAAACCTTCCCAACAAGCCCCCAGCATATACCAGCTCAGCTCCTCTGGCCAGAGCTGGATCATGTTCACAGCTAAACCAGTCAGGGGTAAGGAATGAGCTGTTTTGGGCTCCACCACTAATGATTCTCTACAGTTTAGAGCAAGGAGCCCAAGCTCTGCTGTACCACTTGCTGTAGGGACCTTATAGGGTGGATAGAAGTGGATGGCTTCTATCACATAAACTGACAGTGACATGACACCGCCAACAGCCCCAGGCAAGTTAGAGTCCAATGTGGCTCCTGAAAGCTTCCCACAAACCAGGCACACATGAGAACTCTCCCCAGGGTGGACGTTGGGATACACAAGGTTAAGCTTCTTTCACATGGCACTCTCACGGTCACTCTCCTCAATCTTCTTTCTGGAATAAGACCTTTTCTGATGAACAAATGCTAGCAGCTAACAACTTTCCCATGTGACCTGTCCTCCTAAGGCCTTTCTGAAGTATGAAATTTCTTGTGCTGAAGGAGAGTAGAACAATGTTTGAAGACTTTCCCACATTCTGTACATTCATAAGACCTCTCTTCAGTGTGGAACTGCTGGTGCCGATTGCGGTAGGATCTGGTAGTAAAGGTTTTCCCACACAGGCTACATTCATAGGGCCGTTCCCCAGTGTGGACTTTCCAGTGCTGATAGAGGCCTGAACGAGTCACGTAGGCTTTCCCACATTGCTTGCATTCAAAAGGCCTTTCTCCAGTGTGAACTCTCTGGTGAAGAATGAAGCTATTACTGTATTTAAAGAACTTCCCACATTCTGTACACTCATAGGGCCTTTCTCCAGTGTGCACTTTCTGGTGCCTAATGAGGGTAGACAGAACACTGAAGGTTTTCCCACATTTGCTGCACTCATAAGGCCTTTCTCCAGTGTGAATCCTCTGGTGTAGAACAAGTGCATCTTTGCGGTTGAAGGTTTTCCCACATTCACTACACTTAAAAGGTTTTATGCCCATGTGAACCTTCTGGTGTTTCCTCAGCTTAGATGGGTAACTGAAGGCCTTCCCACACTCATTACACACATGGGATGTTTCTCCAGTGTGAATTTTTCGGGGGTTAATATGAGTTGAATTCTCCCTGAAAGCACTTCTGCCTGCTGGGCATCTGAAGGGTCTCTCTTCAGAGTGAGTTATCAGATGGTCAAGGAGGGCAAAGGCCTTCAAGAACACCTTCCCACAGTCACTACATTTGAACAGCTTCTCTGCCACATGGACTCCTTGCTGTTGCCCACAACTGGAACTACGTGGGAAGGCTGCCTCATACTCAGTGTGCCTCCTTGGTTTCCCCTCACTACGAGTGTCTTGGTGCTGGATGACTCTGTAGCTCTTCACATGCTTGGGAGGGGCTCTCTCATCCTCCACTCTACACAGACCATCTGAAAGCAGAGGTGAATCTATTACTGAGAGTTGAACTAGAGGGAGGAGGTACGTTCATCACCAATTCATGTCAGATACACCCAAAAGGACTCTATAGAATTGCTGAAAGATTGCTGGGAAAGGTCTGGGTTAGAAAAGCCTGGCCCAAATTAGCTCAACCATTGTGGAAGACAGTGTGGCGATTCCTCAAGGACCTAGAAATAGAAACTCCATTTGACCCAGCAATCCCATTACTGGGTATATATCCAAAGGATTACAAATCGTTCTACTATAAGGACACGTGCACACGAATGTTCATTGCAGCACTGTTTACAAT